TGTTGTTGTTGCTGTTATTATTAGTAGCAGCATCCTTATCATGATTGTTGAAACTGATATCATTATCATTATCAATATCATCATTGTCATTACTGTTGCTATTATTATTATTATCATTATTATTATTGTTGCTGTTGTTGTTGCTGTTATTATTAGTAGCAGCATCCTTATCATGATTGTTGAAACTGATATCATTATCATTATCAATATCATCATTGTCATTACTGTTGCTATTATTATTATTATCATTATTATTATTATTATCATTATTATTATTATTATTATTGGTGGTTTTTATTATTATCATTATTATTATTATTATTATTATTGGTGGTTTTTATTATTATCATTATTATTATTATTATTGGTGGTTTTTATTATTATCATTATTATCATTATTATTATTGTTGCTGTTGTTGTTGCTGTTATTATTAGTAGCAGCATCCTTATCATGATTGTTGAAACTGATATCATTATCATTATCAATATCATCATTGTCATTACTGTTGCTATTATTATTATTATTATCATTATTATTATTATTATTATTATTATTATTATTATGATGATGATGATAATAATATATTTTACTATTATTATCATCTTCATCATCATCATCATCATAATCATCCTCATCATCATCATCATAATATCATCATTATCATTATCATCATTATCATCATCATCTTCATAATTAGCATCATCATTATCATCATCATCATTATCATCTTCATCATCATCATAATCATCATCATCATAATCATCATCATCATAATCATCATCATCATTATCATTATCATTTTCAACATCATCCACATCGATGACGTCATTACTGTTACTTTTTTATTATTACAATGAATATTATTATCCTCATAAGTAGTAGTTTCTTTATAGTTATCATCATTATTATTGTTGTTATCATCATTGTTATCAATATTATCATTATCACTATATGTATTTTTTTTATCATCATAATGATTACGATCAGTATTATTGTTAATGTTTTTTTTGTAATCACTATTGTTATATTATTGTTATTATTATTATTGTTGTTGTTATTATCATCATTACCATTATTACTATTATTGGACTGTATTCACTGCGCCAAATGTAGAAAAAATATGAATGAGAATGAATATCTTCACAATACAATGTATTTAACCGGTCTTCACAATGTATTAAATCGCTTTCGAATATATCCTCGTCAGAAAATATAATCTATTGTATGGTGAAGATATTCATTCTCATTCATACCTCTTATACAAATCATTATTATTATTATCATTGTCTCATTATCGCTGTTATTACTATTATTGTAGTTGTTGGTGTTGTTGTTGTATATGTTGTCATCGTTGTTGGTATCCTTTTTAATATTATTAATAATGTTATCCTCATCATCATTATTATCACATATAAGGATTAATTTATGTTTGTCGAACGCACCTCTGACGTTTATCTTAATTACTTAATCAGTTTCAATTCCTTTATCGTCATTTTCTTAGCAAAAAAAAAATCTTCAATTTCTTATAACAACTTTGGAAGATGGGGAAAAAACTCAATATCCTTTTTTTCTATGTTTTATTACAGTATTTTAATATTAGTACTTCCTGTCGAGTAATTCGCATAAAACTTTCACTTTGTAAATGCTAACAGATTAACACGCAATGCCATTTGTTTCATAAATGATAGAATTGTGAAATGTCATATGCGTAAAATATTGTCCGTGGAATTATCAATAGATGATAAAACAAGGAAAGAGAACAATTATATGGGATAAATATGGAATTAATTCGAAACAAGACGTAAATGGCATCTGAATGTAGTATAAAAAGATTTTCCTTAAGTACATGAATACTGTACTGGCGTAAATACTGGGCAAAAATTAGTTTGGTAATAAATTCTTAAATAGTAATAATGCGAAGTGATTTTTGTTATGCACACATACAAACACTCACACATGCAGGCACACTTATTTCCATTTGAGATCACAGAAAATTTAGTGACGCAAAAAAAAAAAAAAAAAAAAAAAAGTAATATGAAATGTAACTCTCAAAATTATTCAGAAAGAGTACAACACGTGAATACCAACATCATAGACTGAATATGGCATGATTACAAACATCTGACAGATCGATAGACAATACTAAACAAGACGTAATTCCAAGTATTCACAAACTGCATATTACATAATGCCAAGTATCTGACATTCACTGACTGAATATAAACACATTATCAAGTATATAACAAGTTCTAAGGCACTTACATTGAGGCATTCCATAAAATTTCCTTACACAGAAGGAAGACATGTGACGTAGGAAACAGTAATAACCTATTAAATCTAAAATGCATTAGTAAAGCTTGAGAGAAATGAGCACCTATCTTTTTATGCAACAAAATGTATATACAATGACCTTAAATACATACTAATGGACTCTACCGTAACAAGCTACTATCATGTTTAAGCAAAATCTTTCGATAACTGGTTTTCAATACTTTACACGTATGACATTTACTGAAAAAAGGGGATAAAACGAGACACAGTCACAGCAGAAACAGAAAGTCGGTGTCTTCACGTTTCGAACCATTGTGACTTCCTCATCAGGCGAAGTAACTATCGGGTTTTGTTCTTTGTTTTTCTATTTTTTTTTTTACATTGTACCGTGTTTCATTTTATCTGTGCGTAGGGAACTGTGTTTGTTTGTTTGTTTTTTTCACAGAAAATAATTGGGGGGAATAAAAAGACCTTTATGGCACCTTGGTTTCCTTTCCATTAGGTATCGCCTTGACGCCATTCTCGACAGCCCCGAGCGCCTCAAGGGACAGGCTCTCCTTCAGGTCGCCCTTGGTCTCCTTCAGGTCGTCCTTGGTCTCATTCAGGTCACCCTTGATTTCCTTCAGGTCCCCCTTGGTCTCCTTCAGGTCGTCCTTGGTCTCCTTCAGGTCCCCCTTGGTCTCCTTCAGGTCGCCCTTGCTCTCTTTCAGGTCCCCCTTGGTCTCCTTCGGGTTCCCCTCTTCGGCTTCTTCGGCTTTCCTCTGCTCCTCCTTCTCGTCTCGCCGCTGGTTCTGGAGTTTCCGGAAGAAGATGTGGTTGACGACGAAGTAGGTGATGCAGGTGACGCCGCACAAGATGCCCATGAGCCTGAAGGTGTTGCGGATGCCCAGGGGACCGATCATGAACCCGCCGAGGAGGCTGCCCAGTCCGCGTCCTGAGGAGAGCGGGAAGTAGGGAGGGGAGGGGGGAGGTTAGTTATTGATAGATAGATAGATAGATAGATGGGTAGATATAGATAGATAGATATAGATATACATAAGCACAGCGCACACACACACACACACACACAAACGACGCCCATACGTTTCATGCTCTTTTACTTATCTCTCTCCCTTCCTAGATATCTCCTTCTCATCATATCATCATATTCCTCCCTTCTCCCAATACTAAATTTTCTCTCCCTCCTCTTCTTCTCATCTCCCCCCCCCCCCCCTTTCGCTCATTCTATTCTCTCTCCCACCCTTTTTCGCTCTTTCTCCTCTTCCTCTCTCCTTACACCCTTTTTCGCTCTTTCACTCCCTTCCTCTCTTTCTCCCTCTTCCTCTCTCCTTACACCCTTTCTCCCTCTTCCTCTTTTCCTCTCTTCCTCTATTTTCTCTTTTTCATTCGCACTGGGATACCACACCACACGAAACCCTCCGAAAATAACGCACGTAGCCCTCCGAAGATAATTTATCGACTCCTGCAAGCGGAGACACCTTCGTCGCCTTCTGTCACTCCAAGACTTCATCTCGCAATACATCAAGTACGAAGCCAGTCTTCCCTGCCGAGCTGACATTGCCGCTCCCTCAGCGTGCAGTACTTCAACACCTGTCGCAGTCTTCAACACTTGCTGCAGTCACCTGACGCCTGCAACATCAGTCACACTGATCTGCCAGTGCCTTAATTTAAGGTGTGTTCCTTTATCCTCGCTGTTCTCATTTCTTTAGGAAATCCCCTGTGGAGATAAGTGTCTGATTTCCTCTCGCTCTCGCAAACAGCCGTGTTCCTCCCCTCACAGAAAACGAGATCTTCCCTCGGCTAGCATCTGTCTCCCGCTCACTCTGCACCTCGGCTCGCCTCACTCATGCCCTGTACTTTCCCTAACTTTTCTCTTTGGTACTCTCATTTCTCTGTAGTTCTGTCTACCTAAGAGTACGCATGTTAATCTGCGTCGTGGTGATTTCTGAATCCACACGATGCTGAATTCCACTTCATTCATTATGAAGTATTTCACAGTAAAATCTTTCCTGCGTTTGTTTGCATGTCATCAGTAATTATCTTCATAGGAAAATTCATTCCTATATTCCTATATTCCTTGACTCTCGGATCACTACGTCGATCCCGTCGCCGCTGATCCCTGGCGCACCAAGTCTCGTTCGCCTCGTTAACGAGCCCATCTCACGTAGGTCCTCGCTGCCGCATCACCTGCCGACGCCGTTCTGTCGTCTGCTGTATATCACTGCATCTCCGGTCGTGTCATTCTGCTCACATCGCCGCCTCCTCGTCTGCTGGTGAGCGCCGCCTGACGTCTTAGCCGCATCTCGTCTCACTCGCCTGACGTCCTCGCTGCATCTCGCTTCACTCACCACACCTGTTGCCCTGTGCTGGTGACCCTGGCAAGATTGGTCCAGCTATGCCTGTCGAACCTCGTGACTACATCACCATGGTGCTCTTCCTCTCCCGAGATGAATCCTTTCCGCCAACGACGTGATCCTGATCCTTTCAAGACCTCGTTTTCACGATTCCCCGCTCAGTTCTCGTCTCATCGCCAACAACTTGGTCCAGAATCTTGTAGACCGGTGTGCGTGTCATTTACAACTGACACGGCGCTTAACAAGTAAACTGTCTTCGAGCGATCCTGTTTAACGATTGACAAGCTTTGTGACCGATCAACACTGACCTTAGAAGTCACTTGTGCGACCTTCTTTACTTTTCGCCTGCAAGGACCGAGACTCCCTGCATCACCGCCGTCGGGACTTCATCTTCAGCATCTCCCACCGCAGCCGGATAAAGTATCCAACGTCACTGCTCTACACCCGTGACAATGACGAAGAGACCTTAGAACTCGCTAAACTAACCCTTATCGCTCGTAAAGAATTCCCATGCTGTTATTCTGTCTTTGTGTATAATTATATCTTGTTTATACACAAAATGTTCGTTAGAAAATGCTTATTCCGAATCACTAAGTATGTTATCGCTATTATTATCGACAATCAAGTGTCTTTATGTTTTATGAATACTCAGCATTTCTGTCTCCTTACCACTAAGCTTTTTAGTTTTGTAAACACCATAACTCTTTTCTCACATACAAAATATGTAAGGTATCCTTGTACCTTCACCACGAAACCATCATGTGAGTATATGTCCCTGAATTTGTGTTCATTCAAATTATTTCATGTTTTCCATTATGAAAAGTTTCAAAACGAAGGTTGTTCATAACAATTTGAGCAGTTGACACAGACCTCTCGCCCCGCTCCTCCCTGGCGCCCCTGCCTTGCCTGTGGTCTGTAGTCTAGCTACCAAACTCTCGCATTAATAAAATACAAATCTTCAACGACCTTAACTCAACACATCAAGGACGAAAGCAGCAGTACTTCAAAGAGGAACCACAACATCGCACTGGTCCCAGTCTAGTGGGATAAAACTCCCCACTATATTACATTAGTGCCGCCATAGAATCCCATATTTCTATTCTCTCTTCCACTCTCTTTCGCTCTTTCTCTCTCCACTCTCTCTTCCTCTCGTCTCCCTTTCCCTCTTCCTCTCTCCATACACCCTTTCTCACTCTTCTCCTCTCTCCATACACCCTTTCTCTCTCTTCTTCTCTCTCTTTCTCTCTCTTCCTCTCTTTCCCACTCTCCCTCTCTTCCACTCTACGTACCGACTCCGTAGTGAATGCCGCCGTAGATTCCCTGCAGAGTGGCGAGCGTGGACGGCGTCGCCAACTCGCTCGCGTAGGACACAGCGGCGGCGCCCATGAGGGACACGGTGAAGCATTCGAGGACTTCGAAGGGCATGCACCACCACGGGTTCTGGATGAAGGAGTAGCCTGGGGAAGGAGACGGAGTTAGATTTTTTTTTTCTTTTTTTGTCTTTTGTCTTTGTTGATCTTGTTCTCTGTCTCTCTGTCGGTCTGTTTGTATGAGTGTTTAGTTGTCGGCCTGTGTGTTGGTCTGTCTGTCTGTCTGTCTGTCTCTTTGGCTCTATCTGTTTCTCTTTCTCTCTTTCTCCTTCAAACTCTCTTTATTTCTCTCGCTTTCTCTTTCTAACTTTCTCTCTCCCTCTCTCCCTCTTTCCCTCTTTACCTCTTTCCCTCTCCCTCTCCCTCTCCCTCTCTCTCCCTCTCTCTCCCTCTCTCTCTCTCTCTCTCTCTCTCTCTCTCTCTCTCTCTCTCTCTCTCTCTCTCTCTCTCTCTCTCTCTCTCTCTCTCTCTCTCTCTCTCTTCTCTCTCTCTCTCTCTCTCCCTCTCCCTCTCCCTCTCCCTCTCCCTCTCCCTCTCCCTCTCCCTCTCCCTCTCCCTCTCCCTATCTCTCCCTCTTCCTCTCCCTCCCTCTCCCTTTCTCTCTCCCTCTCCCTTTCCATCTCTCTATCTCTCTCTCCCTCTCCCCCTCTCCCTTTCTCTCTCCCTCTCCCTCCCCCCCTCTCTCCCTCTTTCTCTTTCTCATTCATTCATTCATTCACTCACTCGCTCTATCTATGTATCAGAAAGGCTCACGCAAAGTACTTTATTCGTTGCTATTAGAGGATCTGTATAATTCACAGCAATTATTTTGTGAAATCCATTTGACTATGTAATCCGTCCTGTATTTTTTTTATTAAGATATAAAGAAAAAAATCAACTAAAGAAAACCAAGAAGAAAGAAGAAAAATCAAGAAAAAAGAAGAAAATCAACCAAAGAAAATTAAGAAGAAAGAAGAAAATCAAGAAGAAAGAAAATCGACAGAAGGATAAAAAAAAAAAAAACTAAGAAAAAAATCAGGAAAAAAAAGAAACAAGTCACCAAAAGAAAAAAAATATATATATAACCATAAAGAAAATCTCCCCCCCCTTCCCCACCGCCCTTTCCCCGCCCCGCCCCTACCGGCCCTACCGCCCACCCCTACCGTACCCTCCCACACCTTACCGAACATCCTAATGACGTAGAAAGCGTAACCCAGAATGATGGTGTTGGCGTGCCCTAGCTTGCCCATGATCCAGCCGGAAGCGATGAGGGTGGGGACGCCCGCGATGCTGCCCACGGTGACGGTGATCCCCATCAGGAACTTCTTGGCGCCGAGGTCCTGCAGGAGCCAGAAGAGGAACGTGTCCAGCAGGCCGAAGCAGGTGCCTGTAAAGGGGGGAGGGGGTGAGTTCGAGTCAGTGATTCAAATGTTGGATTATTATTGTTATTATTATTATTGTTATTGTTATTATTATCATTATTATTATCATTATTATTATTATTATCATTATTATTGTCTTTATTTTATTTTATTTTCATCACTGTTTTTTTTTGGTGTGTAAATGTAATATCTTTTGTGTATATAATGTATGGGAAAATGATTATCCATCTTAGATAAAAATTCGTTTGTCCAATTTTGTAAATATAAAATCCTTTGTCCTATTTTGTAAATCTAAAATCTATTGCCCTGTTTCCTAAGTATGAAATCGTTTATCCTACCGATCCCAAAATCTACTTGCCTAATAATAATAATAATAATTATCATTATTATTATTATTATTATAATAACAACAAAAACAATAACAATAACAATGATGATAATGATAATCATAATTATTACTATAATAATTATACTGATAATTATGATAACAATGGTAATAAATCATAATAATGATAATGATAATAGTAATGATAATATCAATAAGAACATATAATACAACAATAATAACAATAAGAATTATAATAATGGTAATGATGATGATAATAATAATGATAATAATAATAATAATAATAATAATAATAATAATAATAATGATAATGATAATGATAATAATAATATTAACAATAATAATGATAATAATAATAATATCAATAATAATAATGATAATAATAATGATATTATTAATAATTATGATAATAATATAATAATAATATTAATAATAATAATAATAAGCTAACAATTATAATCATCATCATCATCATCATAACAACAACAATGATAATAATAACTACAATAATAACAACAATAATAATAATGATAATAATGATGATAATGATGATAATAATAAAAATAATGATAATGATATTAATAATAATAATAATAACAACAATAATAATGATAATAATAATAATAATAATAATAATAATAATAATAATAATGATAATAACACTAATAATAACACTAATAACAACAACAACAATAATAATAATGATAACAATAATGATGATGATGATGATGATGATGATGATGATGATGATGAAGATAATAATAATAATAATGGTAGTAATAATAATGATACCATTAATAATAATAATAACAATAATAATAATAATAACAATAATAATAATGATGATAATAATAATAATTATCATTATCATTATCATCATTATCATTATTATTATTATTATAATGATAAAAACAACAATAATAATAGACTTCGTACCTGAAATCATCATGACGAGAAGGAAGGTGAGAATCTCGGGTTTTCTGATGAGCACCTTGAAGTCACTGAACACCTGGTTGGAAGGCTGCCGGAAATCTAGGCTCAAGAAGATGATGACGACGGCGGCGATGATCTTGAGGCCGCAGTAGAGGTAGAAAGCCGGTCTGAAGGAGGGAATGAGGAGGAGGAAGAGGAGGTTTTTGAGTGATGTTTAGAGAGATTGGTTTTTGTTTTTGTTTTGTTTTTATTAGTTGGTTTTATATAAGTTTCATTGTGATGTCTTTTTTTGTTTTGTTTTTTTTTAACAAGGGTTATATGTATAAAAACGTGAGATTATCTATCCTCTTGAATAATTAGTCATTGGCGAAAATGAAGCGACACACTTTTATCACACACAAACATACACTTATAAATCTGTTTATTTTCTACTACACCTACAGACTTACAAACAGCATTTATATAAATCATCATGCCTATCCATCTATCACAGTATGAAATCTGATCAGCATAAGCTACAGACCTTACCAACAACATAAATACCCCCCTACCTGTAACCCCCCCCCCCACACACACACCAGTACCTCCCCCTAACACCGCCCATATACCAGAAGCACCTCGCTCTCAAAAAATCCCCTCTCCCTCTTCCCTTCCCCTACCCTTCCCCTCTTTTTTCCAACGGAGCCACGCCCACCCACCTGTAGTCCTGAGTCCCCTGCATCTCCGAGAAGACATCGATAAGGACGCCGGACAAGGGAGTGATCACGATGGCCCCGATGTTCCCGTAGAGGCGCTGGAGGCCGTAGTCCCCCTTGTGTTCCTTCAGCACCGCCATCGTCGCGCCGTCGAACAGGGTGAAACTCGTGGCTGTTGGGGGATGGGTTGGGATATGGGGAGGGGGGAAGGGGAAAGGAGGGGGAAGGGAAGGGAAGGGGAAAGGAAAGGAAAGAAAGGGAAGGAGAAGGGGGAAGGGGGAAGGGGAAGGGAGAAGGGGGAAGGGGGGAGGGGGAAGGAAGGAGGAAGGGGGAACGGGGAAGGGGAAGGGGAAGGGAAGGGGGAAGGGAAAGGGGAAAGGAAGGGGAAGGGAGAAGGGGGAAGGGAAGGGAAAAGGAAGGGGAAGGGGTTGAGGAAGGGGAAGGAAAGGGAATGGAAGGGAAGGAAATGGAAGAGGAATGGAAGGGGAAGAGGTTGAGAAAGGGGAAGGGAAGGAAAGCAAAGCAAAGGAAAGGAATGGAAAGTAAAGGGAAGGGAAACGAAAGGGAAGGGGAAGGAAGAGAAGGGAAGGGAACCGAAAGGGAGAGGGAAAAGAAAGGAAGAGAAGTGAAGGAAAGGGGAAGGAAAATCGGGAAGAGAGTGAATGGGTTAATTTATGGAAAAGAATATGGTGTGCGTATAAATGAATGAATAAGGAGGTGTGTGTGTGGGGGGGGGGGTGAATGAAGAAGGAGGTGCATGCATAGATGAATAAGTAAGGAACCGTGTGAGACTATTGTATGGATGATCAAAATAATGTTGTATGAGTGAGAAAATGAAATACAGTATGAATAACAAAAATATATATGTATATCTACTGCATGAAGCTATTGTATGAATACGATAAGAAGACCGAGTGAAATAGAAAAAATATATATAAACTAAGTAAAGAGACTCTTGAACAAAATAAAAAAAAAATAAATAAAAAAAGACAACAATAAAAACACTCAAAACAAAAAAGATGAATATTCAAGAAAGAGAAACAAAAGAATGAATGTGTATTCCTAAACCTCTTTATGCTTAGAATGAAAGATGTAGGCATATGCACAACAAATAGTAGTAGATTCGGGAGCAAACTAGACCTGGTCCTCAAAGACGCTTCGAGTCCCAGGCGTCCAGAATCAGTTCTAGGAACACACACACACACACACACACACACACACACACACACACACACACACACACACACATACACACAAAGATAGATACATAAATGAGTAACTAAAATAATAACAACGAACAAATAAATAGCAGAATAATCAAACAAATAACTGGAATGATAATAACAATAGACAAATAAGACAATAACAATAAACAAATAATTAAATCGATAAATGAATTAAAAAAAAAAAACTCTAAGAAAATGATTGTCCTCGCATCCTCCAGCGGGACGAGTCTGAAGGTCCTCACCCAAGGTCAGGCCGTTGAGCACTCGCACCAGCAGGTAGGACCAGAAGGTCACCATGGGCTTGAGCACCTGCGTGGTCTTGTCGTTGGAGCACAGGTCGACCCGCCTCACCTCCGCCACGCACCGGAGTCGGCAGTCGTTGGAGGCGAGGGTCGTGGAGGCAGCGACGTCGTAGGCGGATTTGGTGTCGGTGTCTAGGGGGATTCCCTGGGGGGGGGAGGGGTGGGTTTGATTGGTGTATGCCTTTTTATTCTTATCTTAACGTGGGGTTATTTTTTTCTATTTTTATCTTTGTGTAGATTTTTTTATTATTGTGTTTTTATATGGGACTTATATATATATATATATATATATATATATATATATATATATATATATATATATATATATATATATATTTTTTTTTTTTTTTTTTTTTTTTTTTTTTTTTTTTTTTTCTTTTTTTTTTTTTTTTTTTTCTTTTTCTTTTTCTTTTCTTTTTTATATGAGGCATATTTTTTTCCCCGTTATATTCTTTAAATGGGTGATATCTGAATATGTTTGCGTGATCACAGCATTTTAATCATTTCAGAAGCTATTTACCTATCATTTACCCATCGTCTCCTACATCCCACATATTCGTTATCCCTCACCCATCCTTCTTTACTGTTGAACACCTTCAAATAAACATTCAACACAAAGAATAAAAATACCAATCAAATCCACAGCTGCGTCATTACCTGCTCGCCGGGCCCAGGGCAGGTCCAGTCCAGCGGTTCGAGGAAGCTGGCGTTGGCCTCCCCCTGGGGCACCCTCGCCGCGAGCACAGGCGACACTCCGGGGGGCAGGGAGATTTCGCAGTTGGTCTCGACGCCGCCCGGGCATGGGGTCGTCACCAGGTGCAGCTCGGAGTCCGCGAGGCTGGATTTAACGTGGGTTTGATATTTATTTTGATATGGGATAAGGTTTGAGGGATGGGTATGGTGAAAGGGAATAGGAGTAAGTTATTGGAACGACTAGTATAATAAGCCATATCTTAATGGTATATCACCTGTCTCCTGCTTATGAACATCACCGACATTACTACCGCGATCTTCTTGGTGAAAAAAAAAATAAAATTATACGACTGTGACAATGATGCGATAATTATGGTAAAAAATAACAGTATTTAACAACTTTTACGGTGATAACAATAGCATTAACAATAAAAATGAATAAACAAACGCAACAAAAATAAACAATAACAGCAACAAAGCTCAACTTGACCCACCCGTCCGCCCGACATGGTTCACAGCTCGTAACATTGAACAACACGGTGTCGAGATCGGCCAAGTAGTCACACTGAAAAGGCTCCTTCAGCGTGAGCCTCGAGCCCTCACTCCCGCCGCAGGTAACCGTGTAGGGAAGGACCTCCGGAAGGGCGTGGTGGATGCGGGCGGCGGGGACGGCGGAAAACACAAGGGCAGCTGCACCGCTCGCCGCCATTGTGAAGCTGAGGAATACCTGAGGGAGAGAGAGAAAAAATAGAAAGGGGGGATGGGGAGAAAGTGTAATAAATATGAGGTAATTACAGAAGTGTGTGTGTGTGTGTGTGTGTGTGTGTGTGTGTGTGTGTGTGTGTGTGTGTGTGTGTGTGTGTGTGTGTGTGTGTGTGTGTGTGTGTGTGTATGTGTGTGTGTGTGTATGTGTGTGTGTGTGTATGTGTGTGTGTGTGTGTGTGTGTG